GACAAATATAAATCCATTTAGCACAATGCATTAAACATTAGTACACCTTCCATCATGAACCTGTGGTTAGTTCCATACCCTGCAAGGAAATAACCTCATCATTTGACAAGTACTGTTAGAAGCATTCAGCTTTTGGGGTTAAGAAACTATGCCTTACACTTTATATGTTACACTGATGTCAGGGGATATAAATTATAATTACAGGCATTATTATTCAGAGATGCTGTAACTCCTGATTTCTGTATCCAAGCCTCACTTCTTGCATGTGTACCTCATAGACTTACTGGGATGTGACAAAGGAAATCTCCGATCAGCCCTGTCTGGATGGCTAAGAACTGTTTTCAGTAATAAGAAAACTGCCTTGATAAATCAGATACTTGCATGTCTTTAAAATGTCTGTTTTACTGTTTCTTCTAAGATTTTGTTCTCCATCTGCTTTGAGGAAAGCAGATAGATTTCAGCATGGCTTTATAATAAATCTTCTTGAGGAGGGACTAGCATTAACATTTGTGTAGGTTCTTTTTCATCTTAATCCAACCTTAGTTAATAATCAGAAAATTCTACATAGTGAGTAAGAAGATGTAATTAACCCTTTGACCCCAGAATCTTAATTGGCGCCTGTTGAAAACAGTGGGCAGTTTAAAAAAAATTAAAAAGTAGCCTGCAGTGATTGAACAGCGCAGTATATAATAGCTTTCTTGATTCAAAATTTTTTTTTAAATTTCCACAGAACTTTCAGATTAATCACACTTGGTTTCTAAGACTAACTGACTGCATGTTTTCTTCCTCCTCCCACCTTTTTAAATTGATAACACCCAATTTAAACCAACAATGATGCTACCCTTCAAACTTTTCTAAGTGGCAACATACAGCTAACTATAGACAGAGGCAATGCTGAATCAGAAGGCAGTGGCTATGTGAAAAGTGATCTTGGCAGTCTACTTTATACCTGACTTCATATCCCATTTTTTTATTTGAAAGGTAATCAAATCTGAGATATGAACATTGATCTTAGACTATAGGTATAATCGACCAAAATGATAACCATAAAAGTGAAAAATATGGTGAATTAACCGTATTTTTGGGGTGTATGTGTGTGTGTGTTTTGCTTCTGTGATGACTAATAACTAATTTAACTAGTTGTTTTTTCCCCCTACCAAATTGGCTGTTATTTTTAATTGAATTGACTGGATGTCTTTGTGTCATGTAGACATAGACTCATTTTAATCTCACCAGGAAATTGGAACATGTGTTGAAGCCTCTGTTTTTGCCAAATAAAACTGGCCAGTTCTTAGATCGCCACTGCTTAATAGCATCAGATGTTTAGCCTCCAGATATTCTTTTACCCTGCTATGGTGCCCAAACCTCCTCAAATATTTTAGTAAGTACATGAAATCTGAACCTCATGTTAAAACTCACAATCCCTTTTAGTGAGGAAGTAAAGGATATGCGTAGATAGCAAATGACACATCTATTCAGAAATAGCACTGGGTGCTTTGAAGGACATAAAATAATCCATTCTATTCTAAATATCAGGAGGTATCCCAGACCATAGTAGAAATCTGTGGAATCTGAATCTGTAAATAATCTAAGTCCATAAACTGGACTCCTCAAGAAAATAATTTCCATCCTTAGTAGTCATTATGGTATTTGTGATATAAGGAAAAGGGAGCACTGAGCATGGAGGTAGAACTGGATTTCATAAAAACTGATTGAGTGGTTGTTAGGTGCCAGCTAGATACATAAGGCATCGCCTCACTGTTGAGAAATTCAGTGATTCAGAAATTCTCTAGTTGAGAGCTGAATAAGCCAACCAGAAGCATACAGTGCCATAAATGTTTTAATAATTTTATGGGAGTGAAGAAGATTTAATCCTGCCTCTGCCACCAACTGGCCATCTGAGCTTGTCCAGCCACTTAGCCTCTCTGTGCCTCAGTTTCCTCCCCTGTAAAATGAAGGTTTAGAACTATAGGAGATTATCCCCACACCAGCTTCATCAGTCCATCCTTCTGCATCCAGCCAGGCTTCCGACTGTCCCTTGTGTCCTTAGAAGTTCTCCTGTGATCTCTGTTTGTGTTGTTGCTCTAATTGACAATGACATTAAAATTTGAGAAGATGACTTACACAGTTCTCTGTGATTGTGTACCAAGCCATGGCTATCAGGTCAAAAGGAAAACCTAACAAGCCCTTTTATAAGCTCCAAGGGAATAGTCACAAAGGGGAGGGTCCTAATTCTCATGAGTCATCCTCAGGAGACATCTCGTTTGAGGTAAAGATATGTTGAAATTAGATCCTTCCCAAACTTGTAGGAAGGAAATATCTCTCCCTTTGCACTGGTTCAAAGTGAGGTTCTGCTATACTACATCCTGCGCTTGAAAGGCTCTATCAGAAAAGGGTCCAGAGGGTTTGCAGTTTTGTGAAAGGTAAGGACCCCAGTTCTCTTAGACAGTACAGTATTTTATTCCCAAAAGCTGGTTCTGGGGGAAATGTTTCGAAGCAAAGGTGGCCAGGTAACCTCCTATGGAAATACCTTAAGTAATCTCTTGCCATCCTACTTCCGCTCTGTCTTGTACCCACAATGGGAGGATTCTATCGTTTGAACACCAATTGTGCAAAAACAAGGGATGATGTTTAAGATGTCACAGGCTGCCTCTTAGGGTAAATATTTTAATTTCAGAAATGTTGTGAATATTCGCCTTTTCATTAATTCACACATATCAATTAGAGAATCTTTATTTTTATTGGAAGGTAGTATAGTTAGTTATTAAGTTCCACTGCCAAAGTTCAACTCTAAACTCCAAACGAGGAATAGGCTTGTTGCCTAACTTCACTAATCCTCAATTTCCCTGTATATAAAAAGTGGATAATAATACAATAACTTCATATAGTACTTGTGAAAATTAAAAGAGACAATATGTGCAAACTGCTTAGCACAGAATGCTTAATAAATGTAAGCTGGCATTATTGTATTATTGTAGCTAAAAGCTCATCTATCATGTAATTTGCTCTTTAGTGGAACAATATAATGTGACTTTTGAATTGTTTTCAGAACCCAAGAAATCAGAGGAGGGGGTTGGGTGTCATCCACAGTTTCTGACCAGTGGGGCAATGAAAACATGTCAGGAAACAGGAAAATCCACTTTTTTTTTTTTTTTTTTTTGAGACAGAGTCTTGCTCTGTTGTCCAGTCTAGAGTACAGTGGCATGATCTTGGCTCACTGCAACCTCCTCCTCCCAGGTTCAAGTGATTCTTGTACCTCATCCTCCCAAGTAGCTGGGATTACAGGTGTGCCACCACACCCAGCTACTTTTGTATTTTTAGTAGAGATGGGGTTTCCACCATGTTGGCCAGGCTGGTCTTGAATTCCTGGTCTCAAGTGATGTGCCCACCTCAGCTTCCCAAAGTGCTAGAATTACAGGCATAAGCCACTGTATCTGGCAGAAAATCCAAATTTTATATATACATACAGACATATATATGTGTGTGTGTATCTGTATGCATGCATATATATATATACACATACATATATAAGAATATATATAATATATAGTCTCCCCAAAATTCAGTATTTTAGGAGACTGAAATTATTGCTAGGATTTGAGAAGGCACATATTTCTAACTAATTTACACACTTCTTCCACCGTTCTATATTTTTACAAATTTTGTCATTAATTTAGTGTTTTCGCATACCTTGTTCCTAGCATGGGTTTCCTGTATTTGCAAATTCACGGCCTTTTTTTTAACACCACTCACATTTAAAAACTTTTTCTTGTACAAGCAGCACTTGTGCAATCTACCTTGTTAAAAATAAATATAAAGCAAAACAAAAGATGTGAGGATGACAGAGGGTGTAGGATGCACTGGATTGCAAGAATTTGAAACAAATTTAACCTCAGTTTGAATGCTGTATTGCAGGTGGAGTTCATGATGATTTACACCATTCATCAAACTGAAAATGCAACCCTCCATTGGGAAAGTGGTTTTAGGAGTTACAGATGATGTGTAGCATCCTTTTTCTTTCTTTATTCTTTCTTTCTTTCTTTCTTCTTTTGTTCCATTTCAGGAGTTGTGATAGAAACTAGAACTGTCGCTATAAAACTTTAATAGAGAGTTTTGCAAAACAGGTTACAGTTTGTCAGATTGCAGCCCATAAACATTATCCCTTAATGTATTGACATTTCCTATTGTTCTAACATAGTGAGCACTAGGAGTAAAGAAGGCATCATTCCTTATTAATTAGCAAATTGTTGATGTTCAGAGTAGTGCAAGTAGTGATTTTACTTGCTCTTGATATAGGAAGCCTTTTTTTCTTTCATTTCATTACGATCTTTATTCCTGTTCAACTATTTAATGGAGAATCTTGCTGATTTAATCTCAGTAACCACTGAATCCAAAAAAAAAATAAAGGCAACATCTCATAAAATCAGCATGACCTTATTTTGTACATGAATGTAATGTATCTTGATCAAAATGACAGAGACATAAGTCCCTAAAGTAAAAGAAAGCTTTCAGTCTTAATTCAGACATTTAATTTATTCATGTATAATGCAATACTAAAAGATCTTAGGACTTTCATTAAACACGGAGAAAAAAATGATCTTAAATTCAGCGTGGCTGGGCGCGGTGGCTCACGCCTATAATCCCAGCACTTTTGGGAGGCCGAGGCAGGGGCGGATCACCTGAGGTCAGGAGTTCAATACCAGCCTGGCCAACATGGTGAAACCCTGTCTCTACTAAAAATACAAAAATTAGCTGGGCATGGTGGCACGTGCCTGTAGTCCCAGCTACTCGGGAGGCTAAGGCAGGTGAATTGTTTGAACCCAGGAGGTAGAGGTTGCAGTGAGCTGAGATCATGCCACTGCACTCCAGCCTGGGAGACAAAGCAAGACTCTGTCTTAAAAAAAAAAAAAAAAAAAAAATCAATGTATTGCTTTCTCAATGGCCTTACTAATTAAATCTGCATCCTTTATATTTATTAATCTATTTTTTTTTTCCTGCAGTCCCTGGATGGCTTTGTATTTGCACTAAATCAAGAAGGAAAATTTTTGTACATTTCCGAAACAGTCTCCATCTACCTAGGCCTCTCACAAGTAAGTAAAACAATTTTAGATTCTTGGCAGCGATTATGAAGCCTTCTTCAGCCTCATGTTTTTCCTTCTTCAAGGAATATTCTGTTTAGCATGAATTATCAAATGTATTATTTAATGGCTTTACCTGACTGTTCTCTCAAAGTCAGTGAGAAACCTGTGTGTCAGTGTTGAACATTCAGAATAAACTTGTGCTCAAAAACTTAATTCCCCTCCCCACCCCCCAAGGATCATTATTAATTTATTGAGAACAAATGAAGTTTCTTCCCTTGGTTGTTTTGAACTTTGAAACCTCTGTGCCCGGTAGGAGAGGGACACACTAATAGTGCTTCCCTTGTGTCCTATTACTGGATGTTTATGGAGTACCCTGCATTATCCTGGGAGCTGACACAATGGCAGGAGTCATTTGGAGTCAAGAAATACTGAAAGAAGCCATTAAAATGTGTTGCAGGGAGGGTTCCAGCAAGGATATATTTTGCTGCCTTTGCAAATGCTTCCAAATGCTGAAAGATGATTTCATAAAATAAGATAGCTTTTCATTATTTGCCATTTAATTACTCACATGTGTTTTTTGGAGAGTAAAAGAAAAGAAAATGGAGGCTGACGGGCCAGGGACAAAAACCCTGGATGTTACTTCTCGAAATTCCCCTGGAACACAAAAATTTAAGTTCCAGTGAATTCCAAGACATGGGCTGCATCTAGTGAATGCCAAAATATCCTGAAGCAAGGTTTGCAATTCAGCTAATTATCCAGATGTTTTCTGCATAAAAAGGCTGAACATCTGGGTATTTGCGCCCATACAGGTGATTGGCTGAGTTTGACCCCTTTCATCTGGTGATTTGGCATGAGGAAAACACTGCCTCGGTGGGAGGGATTTTGTGTGTGTGTGTGATGATCTGCCAAGTTGGATAATCTACCGCTCATTCAGTTGCCCCTTGAAGCTAGAGATAGAGATAAGATTTGTCTCTCTCCTTTAAAACAGGACCCACCCCAGACTCCTTGCTTCTGAAAGTTGGCACAGCTCTAAGGAGGCATCCAGCAAGTCTGGACCCTTTTGGCTATTAGTGAGTTTGCCGGGTAATAGCTAAATCAAGAAAGACATTGGAAAATAATAGAGAGAGATATTTGGCATGTGAGGAGGCTTGGGGAAGGAGGAGAACCACTGCCAAATTTGATTATTTACTGTTGAGAATCCAAACAAGGGTCTGTTCTGTTAATGCTTTTTGAGGAACATGCAAGCTCTCAGCTATAGTGTATAGAGTAATTCTATTTTATGTGGACTTTAGCAAACCAAATGATAGAAACCGAGCTTTTGTTAACTCAGTATTAGTATTCTTGTATCTTGTTGAAAGATCTGGTTTTGTGATAGCCTTTAATAGACTTTAAGCCTTGTCTTAATCTGTCTGGGACCTAGTATTGAGAATCTTCAATTCTGAAATTGGCGAGCCACCATGTTGCGATGTTGTTATTACCATATAGAACTGGAAACACCACTGTTTGTTGTTCTGCAATGCACATATTCATGTTTCATGCAGGGTATCCAGCAAAGTTTAATAAGCCAGTAAAGAAGAAGGATGAATAATTAGTTTAAGCAGGTAAATGCTAATTAGGGAACTCCTGAAAAGCATCCATTATATACTAGCTCAAAACACATTTTACAGCCCTGGTTAGTGGTGTAATCCAAATTCTGTCAAGGCAACTGCATTTTCTGTAATTGAGATGTGTATGTTTGCTTTGCATAACAGATGGCTCTGTATGCTTAGACTGATAGCTAGGAAAATAATAATTGCATTATTCTGGCCAAAAGAATATTAGCTCTTGGGTTTTGGCCATTTCAGTCAGTCCTCCTGCCAGCACAGCATATGCACATATATGGATTGGATTTTCAAGGAAATTGATGCATCTGGAATAGTGCGGCCATCTGAAATATCATCTGTTCAAGAAAAATTTGGCTTTAACCCTATGCTGGTTTCTCCTTAAAAGTATTTTATTTAGCTGCTTTTCTACTGTATCATCACGTAAAATCTGAGACAAATAATGGATGTTTCTGTGAAATAAAGCAGCTATGTAGACATGGTCCAGTATCTGGCAATTTCTGTGCAGTCAGTCCCAGATTTTATATATAATGGGCTTTAAAGCACATACCAGTAGTCAGCATCTTGACTTATCCGGGGGTGGACCCTGGCCAAAATGTGCCATTGCCTTCTCCTGTGGTGGATGTGTTCAGCGTTGGCAGAAACTGTCAAATATGCAGGTAGAGGCTATGAGATAGGAGACATGGGCCTTCATTTGGCAGCACTACACAACTGCATTGATGAGGGGTCAATCAGTAGAAAGTGATTTATTTTTGCATATACCAATTTATGTATTTAGTGTTCAAAACTGAAGCTTAAGAATAGTTCTACATTAATATAAAAATAATCTGATAAGAACATGATATATTTTTAAATGCCCAAAGCATGAGAGAAAAAAAAAATCTATGCTAAAACTCTGGAAAAGAGTTTTCTACCCAGTTAAGTTTCTGAGTCCTAATAGAGAAATCGAAGTCCCCAAGACACAACTCTTTCCAAGTTTCTTCGATGCCCTTTTTCAGCTGTAGGGGTTGTGGGGTGATATACAAAGTAAATATACTCTAAGTCAATTAAGCATTTGTTCTTTTATGAGCACACACACAGACACACAGACACACACACACACCCTTAATCAAATGCAAACCAAATGCTCTGCTTGTGTTCTACAACTTTGGCTAAGTGGTTATTCCATCAAATTCTAGACAGTGATAAGCAATCTATAAAGTTATGGTCCCTCCTTTCCTTTCCAAATAGTTTTGTTAAAGACAGTGTGTAACTCTGTCATCAAAGACTTGTCCAGTGAAATTGTTGAGGAGGACTGTGAGCGTGTCAGTTTGTTGCAGAGCATAGCTATGTCTGTATTTCTAACTCTCAAGATATCCCTTCCTCAGTTTTATTTTCTTTCAATGTGTACATAAATGTGGTGGCTTTAAAACAGCTTATGCTCAGGAAAGAATTAGAATTCTTTTTTAGCTCACAATAAAACAAGATAGGGAACCTTCTACTGAGCTCTGTTGTGTAGCGTGAGGATAGAGACAGCCAGAGCGGATTTTCTCTTTGACACTCCCTTGGGTGGGACAGCTCTTGGTGTCCAGGGCATGTGCTTGCCGGGTATTCTCTTTAAAGTATTCTCATCTTGTTGTAATTATGGGAATTAGTGAATGATGGTGATTTCTGAACCTCCTCAATAGTCCTCTTGACTTTGCCAGATACACACACACACACACACACACACACACACACACAGAGAGAGAGAGAGAGAGAGAGAGAGAGAGAGAGAGAGAGAGAGAGAGAGAGAGAGAGATGTATATATTTAACCTAACAACATCCAAGAAGTGGTTTCAGGTTATAGAAGTATCCACTGTTGACTTGCTTTCCTGTGTAAAAATGATTCCCAGTTACTCACCAAGAGGCCTTATCTTAAAAGAAGATTCCCACATACTGATGCTGAGTTTGGCTTGCATAGAGACTAAATAACTTCTTATACCTGGTGATGGCATTCAGAGCTGCTCACAACAGCTCTGCTTTCTAGCTATGATGGAACAGGCAGACGTGAAAATGAATTAAGAAAACAGAATGGGTTCCCTAACCCTGAAAATGTAGCAATGATAAATAGCCAGCATTTATGAAATATCTTCCAAAATGTAAGGGGCTTAATCGCCAAAGAATCCAAAAGAGACTTTACATGATAAATAAAAAATATTTCTAGTTGATATAGGATTTAAAGCTTAGAGAAATATTTATTTGTTGGCTTATACTCTCCTCTTTCCACAAAGGATTTGAAATAGCTTACATAAACACATATGATAAAAATAATGTCAAAATAGAACTAGGGAATAAGGAAAAGGAGATAAGCAAAAGTAGGTAAACTATTACCACATAGTAGGAAAACACAAAAAAGGGGCTCATAAAAAGACCATTTAGTACAAACGGTCTTTATTAAAGCTTCAGATTTAACCATGAGCTTCATGGTAACCAAAGCAAAAAGGGAAATCCAGTCAACCATCAAAAATGAAAAACCATTGTTTCTTAAGGAAAGCAAAGTTTTTCTGGGACTGAAATCTGAAAATCTCACGTACAATTTTGGTAGAGCTAACCTGTAGATTATGACATCAGTTTGCTTCCACTGGAGTCCATATTCACAGCAAGGCTGTCGTGATCCACACAGCAAACACAAAGACCCAAATTACAAATCTCGTAACAGGCAGAAGCCCGTTCCCCGCCAGCCATAGCTGTGCGGAAGACCATTTGGAGAGCGAAATTCTGTTCCCGCATCCAGGCCTCACAATAGCATTGGCTAGTTTGTTGGTTTACATGGTTTCAAATTGGCTTTCCTTCACCCACACTCACATCCTGCATTTTCTTCTAAATCCTCATGGGAAATTCACATTATCATTGCCAGAGGCAGAGGACATGAGAGACTCAGTTAACCAGAGAATACAATTGGACTCATATCCTCTGAAAACATTTTTTCTGGAAAGTGAGGTGAGACAAGATAATTCTGATGCACACCTATCCCAGCAAAGTGCTTTCAGGTTAATGTAGAGTCCTGTTTACAACAAAATGAGATCTAGAGCAAGCCAGGATATGTACACATTTGTATGGGGCGATATCATTAGAAAATACCCTACGTGCCAGCTAAAGCCTCTCTTGAAATGTGTTCTAATCACCCCCCACTGCCTCCAGTCCCCTCGTGCACATAATGAGTCACTTCCCTTTTTTCTCACCTAGTCCTCACCCTTATATAAGGTATTTCCTGGCTATTGTAAGCCAGCCAGAAGGTAGCTGCAGACAAGGTTACAAATTGACTTGATTCAAGGCAGCTTGCTGAAAAGGGCAGGGTGGCTGCAGATTATAATAAGAGTTAATAGAGGTGAAGGTGAAAGGGGGTTAGTGGTTGTTTTAAATTTGGTATTTTTTTTTAAGCCATGC